CCTAAAGATACTGAACGGCTGAAACCAAGGCAGTGTGATCGGCTGATAATTTTTTAATATTATTTTATATATATATATATATATATATATATATATATATATATATATATATATATATATATATATATATATAGTTTTAAGGTATGCTATATTTATGTGTCAAAGTACTCAATATAAATTATATTATGTGTCAAAGTACTCAATATAAAGTACTCAATATTAAAGTACTCAATAGAACGAATATAAATGTAAAAGTGGGCACTTCATATACTCACATAGATACCACAATCAATTAACCACAGATTATCTGACAATTCTTCCACTGCACCCATCTTTAATGAAACCAAGAAAGATTATGAAACAGCCCTAAAGGATGTTCAGCATATACACTGGTATACACACCACACAGCCAAAAAAAAAAAAAAAAGACAACAGGAAAACAAACATTATATGGTACATCCCACCGTATAACAAAAACGTAAAAACAAACGTCGGAAAAGTATTTATTAAACTCATACACTTTCCCCATCAAGCCCTCCCCACAAGACATTTAACAAAAAGTGGCACCGAGAATACAAATAATAAAATATGCACAACAGGAGAACAACGAACAAACTACCGACATAAATCAAACACACGTAGAACTACAGGGGAGAAAATAAATTCTCCCTTAAATGGCAAGTTCTTGCAGAAATATGTAATATACAAAACCACATGTAAAATCTACAGATAACGAGTAAAAAGATGCACAAAAGTAACAGAAGAACTGAATAACTCAATTTTCAGCCTGAATTGGAATTTCGGCCCAAATAAGACTTTATGGTTCAAAACAGTCTTTTGGCTGGGTTTGGACTTATACAAGAATCAGAGTTAAAATGAGGTTTTGAAATTTCATGGAGTGAGTTGAGGAATTCAAATCTGTTTCTTCAAAAATGTCATTGCTGTTTTAAAATGGGATCAGGGGTTCCTTTAGTTTGGGGCCAGAGGTTCATTTAGACTTCCACAGGAGCTAGCTTAAAAGTCTGCAAGGGGTGTTTTTTTAAGCGTATATATATATATATATATATATATATATATATATATATATAGAGAGAGAGAGAGAGAGAGAGAGAGAGAGAGAGAGAGAGAGAGAGAGACTAGCAGTAGAGCCCGGTGTTGCCCAGGGATGTAACACTAAGAGATAGATCAAGTATCGACCATCATAAAGACTGAAAAATAAAATTGACAAAGATTATTGTTTAAGGTTGACGGACACGCATGTCTTAATTAGTCTCTTTTTTATTTTGTTTTTTTTTCTTTACGAATTGGTTAAACCCAAACTCAAACAAAACCATTGTTTTCAATCGTTACATGAGTCTACCGATTGAATAGAATTTTATTATAAACAATTGTCTTGTAAATGGAATTTTTAAAGCATTCTGAATGTAAAAATAAAGAAAAGAGTGTGCAAGACAATAAGAAACACTACCTGCCAAAAAAAGTGAAGTTTTGCTGAAATCGGTTGAAAAATGTAGGAAATCCGATCCCATATATAAATGAAACACACACACACACACACACACAAACAAACAACCTGGGTTTTATAATAAGTATAACTTGATAACTTGATATTAATAAGTATAACTCGATATGACTTGACCCCCTTTCATTAATGCCTCTTAATGGTGTTTTCAAATTGATTTCATGCAAAAACAATTGTGTTTTTCCAATTTTTGGCGCTGTCAGAACCACTGCAAGGTAATTTTACATAGTCCTGTGAAGTTTTGTTGAAATCGGTTGAAAAATGTAGGAAATCCGATCCAATATATAAACGTACAGACAGACACACACACACACACACACAATCTGCATTTTATAATAAGTAATATATATATATATATATATATATATAGAGAGAGAGAGAGAGAGAGAGAGAGAGAGAAAGAAAACGTTGAGTCCGTTAATGTTTGAAAACAAATGAATAAATTTCATTACTTGTTTAACAATTAAAGGTTCGTTTCAATATGGTCTTCAGCATTTGGTCAGCTGGTATTTAGCCTAATTTCCCAGTTTTCAAATTTTCCCTATGAAATGCGAAAAAAGTTTTTTAGTTTTATTTTTCCTTTTCGTATTTTCATTTTCGAAGATCAAGTCAAATAAGTGTTTGAGTCTAACAACGCAAAAGGTTTTTTTTCTTTATTTTCATTTGCCTTAAAATTTTGGCCAGCTCTTCATATATTTGAGTGGTGTCATAGCTCGTCGTGTTGAGGAATTGGAGAGTCAAGTTCGAATTCCAGTCGAGTTCATTACATTCACTTACGTGCTAATAGCCTTGGCAAAAGGATAAATCCATCTATTCTATCCGCAGCTATGACAAACTGGATTTTATAGCCTTAAGGCTAGGAGAAGGACAATTCTGAATTCAAAACCTGTGGAGGGTCGTTTGGGGACTTTGTGGCCTACTGTTCACCGGTTCTCTGTATTCCTATTATCCAAAATGTGTTGTTGCTTCTGCACAAGC